ATTTATAATTGCTTGGGTGAAATGTTAGATTCAGTTTTTGTTGGATCAATGACTTGCGTTTTAGGTATGTTGCTTGGGGAAAAATATAATTTATGAATTTGTGGGTTGTTATGTTGTCAATGTGGCTGTTTGTTTGAGAATATATTTATAGTTGTTATGTTGATTAACAATTTTAATGACTGTTCGGATGATGGGCAGATTAACTACAGCTGTAACTATACACAAAATTGTACTTAGGATATAATTTAACACTTGGCTCATGGGAATCCATTTTGTAATATAATTTGTCTTTCATAAACTGCAACAAAGTACAATTGGATTTAATTTATTATGTTAATTAACTACAGTTCCAGCTATGCAAAAAAATTAATAGCTCACACGTGAATCATAAGTTTGCTATGTTGATTAACTACATTGATGGATGACTCTTCTACTTGTTGATAGAATGTAGGTTATGTAATGCATTTATTTACATTTATTTGCACAACATTATGTTCAATGCTACACTTATTTCTAATTGCATTAATTTTAATTCAGCACCGCCACAATTTTTTACGGGGACTTTTCTGGAGGAAATCCGAGAAATGGTTGACACACATTTATAGTTAACTCATGGTATAACAGAGATAATGCCTGTTATTTTGGATGAATACAACTTATCGAATGACAATGAATATATCTCGAGGGCAATGTTTGATATATCCTACACCAGCGTCAATATATTCAGGATGTCTTGGTCGGTCATCTAACGAGAGCATATAATTGTTTTAGGCTTCCAACAGAGGCTTTTATACAGTTGAGAGATTTATTGATTAAGAGATGACTACTAACTGATATTAAGAATATATAGGTTGCAGAACAATTAGGAATTTTTCTTCAAGGCGTCACACACGCTCATAGTTACATTAAACTTTGTGAATTTTTCCAACAGTCGCTAGAAACATTGAGTAGATACTTTAATATTGTGTTACAAGCGATTTCATTACTATTAAAAGAATTTTTTAATTTTCCCTGAGAGAAGCGAGTTGTGACCCTTTCATACGAACAACTGCATAGTTTTATCCATATTTTCAAAAACGCTATAGGAGCAATTGATTGAACTCACATCTCTGCAGTGGTTAGTAGAGATGCACAAAATAGGTACCGTTACAGAAAAAAGATTTAGCCAGGGATGTCACTTTCATTGAAATGGAGATGTACAAAAACATGATCAAATCCTAGGATTGCTTGGCAATTACTTTTGAAAAATCCAAATATGTTGAGATAGAAAAAATGATGATCATGATGGAGGAGAAAGAAGTATTCAATCAGATAAAGCACAGAAAATTCCTCAATCACTTACTACTGAAGTTAAGAGGGCCATTAGAGCTACTCTGCTTACCCGGCCAACACAGAGGTATCCTCTATTGTAATGTTTGTTGCTAACAGAAGCTAATGAACTAGAGTGGGGAGGCTAATCAAGTTGAAGATTTAAAAAAAGTGTGACTTGCCTTGGATGATGAAATGCAATCCTTGTAGTCAAATTGAACTAGAGATTTGGCGGTATTAGCAAATGACAAAAAAGAACTATGCAATAAGTGTGCCTACATGCTGAAAGAGGAGTCAGATTGCAGCAAGTGTTATATGACAAGACATGTTCTGAAAGGGTTCCTACAAAAAGAAGTAGACTACGTTGAAATTTTTCTTCCATTTTGAAGATGACAACTGACAAAGGTGTGTTGAGTTTGGTAACAGAAAAATATTTATATTTGGAGCAGATGAATGTAAAAACAATTTTTTTACATGAAAATATGGAGGAGAAATTATATATTGTGCAACTGCATGGTTATGAGGTTGTAGGAAAAGAAGATTTGGTCTGCAGGTTGAAGAAGAGTCTCTATTACTTGAAGCAGTACCTGAGACAGTGATATATGAGATTTGATAGGTTCATGTCAGATAATGAGTACATTAAGTGTCTGGTAGACCCCTATTGTTTTATCAAAAAATTTGATAATTGTTATATCTTGCTTCTTTTGTACGTGGATGATATGCTAATAACAATGATAGATATGAAAAATATCAGGAACTTAAAAGTGCAATTATCAAGTGATTCGAGATGAAGGATTTAGATCCAACCAATAAGATCATTGGGATGAGAATCAATAGTGACATGAGCATAAGTATACTAAAGTTGTCTCCGACAGAATGTACTGAGAAGACTCTAAAGAGGTTCAATATAAATGAGGCAAAGCTAGTTTGTTCTCCATTAGGTAGTGACCTCAAGCTATGGAACTACACCTAAGTTTGAAGCAGAGCAATCTCATATGGAGAGAACTCCGTATGCTTCAGTAGTTGGAAGTTTGATGTATGCTATGATTTGTGCAGCATGACCAGATATTGCTATACAGTCCGAGTGATCAGTAAGTATATGAGCAATCCAGGTAGACATCATTGGGAGCTAGTGAAGTGGATTTTCAGGTTTTTGAGGGGATCAATCAACAGGGCACTTTAATTTAGAAGTACAGAGCACAACTATAGAGATTTGTATATTCAAATCTGACAGAATATTTGGATGGTAAAAGGAGTATGACAAGATATATCTTCAGCTTGGAGAACACAGTGGTGAGTTGGTTTCTAGGCTACAGAAGATTGTTGCAATTTCAATTACAAAGGTTGAATGAACTACTATCATTCATGCTAGTAAGGATATGATTTGGTTATAGAGCTTTATGACACAACTGAATAAGGAACAAGAGATTGGAAAACTTTATGGTGACAATATGAGTATTATTAATCTTGCTAAGAACGCTACTTTTTATGCTAGGATAACGCATATTCAGCTGAGGTATTACTTTTTTCATTTTCTCTTAGAAGATGAGCAATTAATTTTGGAGTAGATACATACAACTCAGAATCTTGCGAAATTATTGATTAAGGTGGTGACTATCAAGAAACTAGAGCTATCCTTGGCTTCAGTTGTCCAAAAAAGTTGAGACTGGAGGATAATTATGACAATCTCAACAATTGGTTGCGAAGAATCTTCTGCAAATATAATATTTTCGTAATCACGACAATTAATACATATTCCTAATCTAAACAATTAATTGTTATATATTGAATTCGACAATTGTCGTAATTTGCACATATTACAACTTGTTCAAGATGGTCGTTCTGCTGATACTCCTTTGGAATTAAATGTCAAATATCAACAGAATGATTGTGATTTTCTATTTGAATCATCTCTATATCGACAACTGGTTTGGAGTCTCATTACCTGACTATTACGCGTCCTGATATTTCATTTGTTGTGCAACAAGTTAGTCAATTTATGCAAGCACCTACACATCTTCATTTAGTTGTAGTTCGATGTATTATTCGGTATTTAAAAGGTACTTCTCATTGTGGTTTGTTCTTTTCTGCGGAGTCTCCTATCACCTTAACAGCATATAGTGATGTCGATTGGGCTGGTTGTTCTGATAAACGCCGATATATTACTAGATGTTGCATTTTTCTCGAAAACTTTTTAATCTCTTGGAAGAGCAAGAAACAAGATTGAGTTTCTAAGTCATCTGTTGAGTGTCTAAGTCATCTACTGAATCAGAATATCGCGTTATGTCTTCTGCTTGCCTCAGCTTGTTCCAAGATCATTTGGCTTCGGGGTGTGTTGGCTGAACTTAGTTTTCCTCAGCTTGAGTCTACTTCTCTTCATGCAGATAATACTAGCGCTATCCAGATTGCTGCTAATCCAGTCTTTCATTAGCGCACGAAACACATTGAAGTGGACTATCTTTACATTCGAGAAGCCTATGAGAATGGTGTTATATCTCTTCCTCATATCACTTCTGATCTTCAAACGGCTAATATATTTACTAAGGGTCTTTCTCGACAGTGTCATCAGTTTTTTGTCGGCAAATTGATGCTGCCACCATCAATTTGGGGATATCAATCAGGAATAAATGAAATCAGGGAGAATAAAGAGTTTACTTCTTCGCAATGTTGCAAAGAAGGAAATATTATATTTACACGGATTCTTTCCTTTTAGTGATTCTTTCCTTTTAGCTGAACATTTAGATTAGAAATATGTATTAATTAAATTACCTAAAATAGATTATAATTTACTAAGGGTCTTTCTCGACAGTGTCATCAGTTTTTTGTCGGCAAATTGATGCTTCTTGATCAGCCAGCATCAATTTGAGAGGGGATATCAATCAGGAATAAATGAAATCAGGGAGAATAAAAAGTTTCTTTCTTCGCAATACTACAAAAAAGGAAATATTATATTTGCACATGATTTTTTTCTTTTAGCTGAATATTTAGATTAGAAATATGTATTAATTAAGTTACCTAAAATAGATTATACAGAATATTATGTACCTAAAATAAATTGTACAAACTATTATTTATTGGAATGAAAGCAAAGGAAAAGACATTTAGCCTATTTGCTCAAAATATTGATAATTTTAAACGTAGAGTGTGAACTGTCACATTCATTGTCTTCTTTTTCTTATTTTTGATGTGTATCATAAAAGAAGTCATTAAGAAAATATATTAGCTTAATTGTTATATTGTTTCACTTTTATTTGGATTTATTTAAGATTGTTCGTTTTTAATAGAAAGAAAAGTTTATTTTTCTTGAATTTATTTGTGTTTATTAGATAAGTTTAAATTTTTCTTTTCAATGATATCCATTTTGCCTATTCGACCTTGTTTATCTGAAGTTGGATTTCATTTAGCAGTAGTCCTTCAAAATGAAACCTTCCATATTGGAGCTAACCTTTCATTTAGAAGTTTTTCATTTGCTTTAAATTTATACCTTTTATTGTAACTTCATTTTTCTTACTATTAAAAAAGTGGGCTTAATTGATTCAAAGGTGGTTCTTGGTGCCTGCAGTTTGGCATTCCAGTGTAAATACTTAATGATAATTTTTTTTTCGTATATTTGTTTTCTAAATCAGCGCTTATGACTTGTCATCCATATATGGACTTAGTGTTGTTTGATATGATACTACTTTCTATTGTAGGTTGTGAAAGCAGCTGCAAAAAGGCCGGAGATATTAGTTCAAGTTGGCTTGGAGTACAGGTATATGCCTCCAGTAGCTAAACTAATCGAGATATTTAGAAGCGGAACAATTGGACAAATCAAAATGGTGTCGATCCGTGAACATCGATTCCCTTTTTTGGTTAAGGTACAGTTGACTTTAATGTGAATAGTGCATTATTCATCAGTTCGATGGGTTCTATGATGGTAAAAAAGATCAAAATGAGTGATAGAAGCTTGAAAAAGAATCACGTTGATTTTGGTCTACACAAGCAATGCATCATTATATTTGCAATATTTGGATGGAGAGCATTTTCTCAGTGAAAATTGAACATCAAATGATCTAATCAAATATTTTTGGAAGCTTTACATACGTACCACTCAATTCTTATGCTTTTATCTATTTAACGCCTAAACTTCAACGTTTACTTACATGCCACCTTACCCATACATGAAAAGGTGTATTTCACCTTGTATAAGAGAAATGGTGATATTTTTGATGTGATATGAAAGATTTGGGTGGTATAATTCTAAAAAGTAACGTTTGGTGTTAGATATGTAAATACATAGGAATTGAGGGGTACGTTTGTGAATGCCCCCAAAATTTTTTTGCATAGAAAAAGTTACTAGGCTAAGATGGCCCATGTCTTGTGCTTGTTTTAAGCTCAACCAGAGTCTGTCATGGCCCAGTCATGTATCTTCCTTTTCACCCAAGGCTCATAAATGTCTTCCATTTATTTTCTTACCTTTTTAAAGTTCTAGTTGTTTAGCTTATTTAATCAACATTTATATCTTGATAATATTAGATTTTTTAGCTTTCTAATTCAAGAATTGCACAGGTAAATAATTGGAACAGATTTAATGCTAACACTGGTGGAACTTTGGTTGAGAAATGCTGCCACTTTTTTGATTTGATGAGACTATTTGCAGCTGCAAATCCAGTTAGTGTTATGGCTTCGGGGTCTATTGATGTCAATCACAAAGATGAAATATATGACGGAAAGGTGAAATGACTCATTTGGGCACCCATTTATTTTATATCTATATGCTTTGTTTCCTGTGATTAAAATGCCCAGTTGGATGCTGTTAAATTCCTTGCACTTATATGTGATTAAAATTAATAGCAAAATTTTGTACCTTAATTTTTTGCTCTGAATAATATTACTATGAAAACTAATGATGTGGGGAAATATGCCACTGATTTTTCAGGAGATTTATTTTTCAAATTGTGCAACCTTAAGCCATGGATTCAATGGTGCTTTCTTGCTGTGTACATCTTGATCTGATGCATATTGCATCAGATCGCCTTTATTACTAATAAATGACAAGGAGCTTAGAAAAAAATAGATGAATCTATTGTGTACAATTATGCAGTAAGTAGTATGCCTCAAGGCTTGCCTCAACTCAAAACACCATGAGTTACGCATCTCATCTTGGCCTAATGGGGCATATTCCTCACCAGGGATGAGGTGCATGTGCAGGCATGCCTCTGCAAAATTTGCAACTGCCTCAAGTCTTGCGTCAACACAAAACACAATGAGATGTGCATCTCTTCTTGGCCTAAGGGGGCATATTCCTTACCAGGTATGAGGTGCATGTCAAGGCAGCCTCCGTGCAATTTGCAACCGACATAAGCTTCAATAATTACAATGTAGGCAATTTAAAATTTTATAATATACATGCACGCACACGCGCGCGCGCACATACATAAATATATATATACATATACATATATATACATATACAT